TACAGTCTGCATCTGCAGTAATCTTTGCACCTAGAAATACAAAGTCTGTCACGGCCTCCACGGTTTCTCCTTCTATTTTCCAGTTGTCAATCATTCTTGTTGCCATAATCTTGGTTTTTTTGACGTTTAGCTGCAACCCGGCTTTTGCGCTTTCTTCTTTCACCTTGATTAGAGGCTCCTCAGCTCCTCCTCACTTTCAGCCATCAAAGTGGTGTCATCTGCTTTGTTTCTTCCAGCAATTTTCACCCCAGCCTTGCATTCCTCAAGCCCTGCACATTGCATGATGTGTTCTGCATACAAGTTGAATAGGTCGGGTGAGAGTATACAACCCTGCCATACGCCTTTCCCAATCTTGAACCAGTCTGTTGTTCCGTGGTCAGTTCTACTGTTGCTCCTTGGTCCTTGTACAGATTCCTCAGGAGAGAGACAAGGTGGCTTGGTATGCCCATCCCACCAAGAACTTGCCACAATTTATTATGAGCCACACAGTCAAAGGCTTTAGAATAGTCAATGAAGCAGAAGTAGATGTTTTTCTGAAACTCCCTGCCTTTCTCCATTATCCAGCGGATATTGGCAATTTGGTCTCTCGTTCCTCTGCCTTTTCTAAACCCAGCTTGAACATCTGGCAACTCTCGCTCCATGTATTGCTGGAGTCTTCCTTGCAGGATCTTGAGCATTACCTTACTGGCATGAGAAATAAGGGCCACTGTACGGAAGTTTGAGCAGTCTTTCGCATTTCCCTTTATTGGTATGGGGATATAAGTTGATTTTTTCCAGTCTGATGGCCATTCTTGTGTTTTCCATATTTGCTGGCAAATGGCATGCATCACCTTGACAGCATCATCTTTTAAGATTTTAAACAGTTCAGCTGGGATCCCGTCGTCTCCTGCTGCCTTGTTGTTAGCAATGCTTCTTAAGGCCCATTCAACCTCACTCCTCAGGATGTCTGGTTCTAATTCATTCACCACACCATCAAACTATCCTCAATATTATTATCCTTCCTATACAGATCTTTTGTATAGTCTCGCCACCTTCTCTTGATCTCTTCAGCTTCTGTTAGGTCCCTGCCATCTTTGTTTCTTATCATACCAATTTTTGCCTGTAATTTACCTCCAATGTTTCTAATTTTCTGGAAGAGGTCTCTTGTCCTTCCTATTCTGTTGTCTTCTTCCACTTCCATGCATTGCTTATTTAAAAATAGTTCCTTATCTCTTCTAGCTAACCTCTGGAATTGCGCATTTAACTGGGCATATCTCCCCTTACTATCACTGTTTCCTTTTGCTTTCCTCCTTTCTTGGGCTACTTCCAGTGTCTCAGCAGACAACCATTTTGCCTTCTTGGTTTTCTTTTTCTTTGGGACGTGCTTTGTTGCCGCCTCCTGAACAATGTCGCGGACTTCTGTCCATAGTTCTTCTGGGACTCTGTTTACTAAATCTAGTCCTTCAAATCTGTTCTTCACTTCCACTGTATATTCGCTAGGAATGTTAGTGAGATCATATCTAACTGGTCTGTGTATTTTCCCTGATCTCTTTAGTTTTATTCTAAATTGAGCAATAAGAAGTTCGTGATCTGAGCTACAGTCAGCCCCAGGTCTTGTTTTCACCGACTGGATGGATGTCCGCCACCTTTGGCTGCAAAGGATGTAGTCAATCTGATTTCGGTGTTGACCGTCTGGTGAGGTCCATGTATAAAGCCGTCTTTTAGGTTGTTGGAAGAGAGTATTCGTTATACACAGCGAGTTTTCCTGGCAAAATTCTATCAGCCTGCGTCCCGCTTCATTTTGTTCTCCCAGACCATGCTTGCCTGTTATCCCTGTTGTCATTTGACTTCCCACCTTGGCATTCCAGTCTCCTGTAATGAAAATAATGTCTCTTTTTGGTGTATTATCCAGTAGGTCCTGCAGATCCTCATAGAACTGATCTACTTCTGCTTCTTCAGCAGCTGTGGTTGGGGCATATATTTGGATCACTGTAATGTTAAAAGGCTTTCCTTGCACTCGAATTGAGATCATTGTCATTTTTTTATTGTATCCAAGCACCGCTTTAGCAACTTTCTTGTTAATTATAAAGGCTACTCCATTTCTTTGGTGTTCTTGTCCGCAGTAGTAGATCTGGTGGTCATCTGATGTGAAGTGGCCCATTCCAGTCCATTCCAGTTTGCTGACCCGCAGAATGTCTATCTTTAGTCTTGACATCTCACCAATAACAACATCCAATTTGCCCTGGCTCATAGATCTTACATTCCAGGTTCCTATGGTGTGTTGATCTTTAGAGCATCGGATTCGTCGTTCACCTCCAGTACCGTCGGCCGCTAGCCTTCCTTTCGGCTTTGAGCTAGCTGCGTCATCACATATGGGGCTAGTTGAACTTATCCTCTGCTCCTCCCCAGTAGCAAAGGATCACCGCCTTGTCGTGGCGCTGGAGCTTGAGCACCTCAATGATGTCATGAGCGAAACCGTGAAGGGACACCCAAGACGGGACGGTTGTGGCAGAGAGGTCAGACCAAGCGTGATCCCTGGGGAAGGCAACGGCAAACCACCCCAGTATCTTTGCCAAGAAAACTAAATGGACCAGTACAACCAGTGGTGCTCTAGGCACATTGAAACTACTAAAACTATACTACTTAAAAAAAAAACAGCTTGCACTTTGTTTCCTACTTGAAGCAGAGGACAGGATGGCATGCCCTCTGTTCCATGCTGGCAATGGGATAGTATTCCCTGCTGTACCTGAGAGTATGTCCGTTTGGAGGCCTAATCCTGACTTAAGGAATAACTGGAATCGTAGTTTGGTACAGGTGCTGGAATATATTTGTAAGATAGAAACCCAAAACAAATTCATAAAGGGCATACAATTCTATGTGCGTACATATGCACACACTAAATGTATGCACACATCGCACCCTGTACAAGGATTAAGAATTGGGTTTACTCCTTGTCATAATAGCTTTGATGCCTCAGCTGCATCACTGCATCAGGCGTAGGCTCTCTGTGCAGAGGGAACTTCCAGGGTGTGTGGACGGGAGTGCAGGAACAATTTTTCTAACTCAAAGATAATAATAATACTTTATTTATACCCCGCCACCATCTCCCCGAAGGTACTCGGGGCAGCTAACATGAGGCCAAGACTTCAAGCAAAGTAAAGTACATACAAAACAGATGATGTATCAGCGAATAGTGCATGCAGATCCCAGTAAAGTGGCCTTCTGCAGCTGGCAGATGGTAATTTTGTCAGCGCCCATTGTATTTAAGTGCAGGCCAAGATCTTTAGGCACAGCACCCAGTGTGCCGATCACCACTGGGACCACCTTGACTGGTTTGTGCCAGAGTCTTTGCAGTTTGATCTTTAAATCCTCATTGTGTCAGCTTTTCCAGTTGTTTCTCTTCAATCCTGCTATCACCTGGGATTGCAACATCGACAATCCATACTTTGTTTTTTAACATGATCTGTGAGGTCAGGAGTATTGTGCTCCAAAACTCTGTCAGTCTGAATTCAGAAGTCCCAGAGTAGCTTGAATGTTCATTCTCTGTAACTTTTTTTGGCTTATCCCACCAGTTCTTTGTCGCAGGCAGATAGTAACTCATATAATCTAATCTGTTGTATAGACGATGTCTGGAGGTCAGAGTGCCCTAGGTAATTTTCAACGGTAAGCAAACAGTATTTTGGCGACCCCCCCCACCCCCCAACCAATCATTATATATTTTCTGTTGTTGTCGTGGGAGTTCTGTGTGCCATATTTCGTTCAATTCCATCATTGGTGGAGTTCAGAATGCTCTTTGATTGTAGGTGAACTATACATCCCAGTAACTACAACTTGCATATGTCAAGGTCAATTTTCCCCCCCTTGCCTGGCCCACTTTGGGTCCGGAGGCGTGCCTGAAGACCCCGGCGTGTGCACCAAAAGTCACCTCTTCTCCTGACTTTCTCCTCAGCCATTGGGACCAAGAGAGAGAGACAGAGGTGGAGATGCCCACCTTTCCTGAAGGTAGGTGCAAAAACAAAGGAGGGAGCGGAGGGAGCTCTCTCTCTCTCTCTCTCTCTCTTGGTCCCAATGGCTGAAGAGAAAGTCAGGAGAAGAGTCAGGAGACTTTTGGTCTTCAGACATGCCTCCGGAGCCGAAGCGGGCCAGGCACGGCGGCTCGCCCCTTGGCCCACCCGCGGATTGGGGAGAGGAGAGGAGGCGGGTGGAGCACTGGGGGATCGGGAAAGGGAGCCGGTCATGGGGAAGGGATCGAACGCGGAGAATGATTGAGCGCCGGCTCTGCTCGCGCACCCGGTGGCCGGGTGGAGCAGGAACGAGAGGGGCTAGGCGAGGCTCAAGGGCCCGGCCCCTTTGGGAAGAGGATCGCCCGGCAGCGAGGCAAGAAAGCCGAGGCTCCCCCCGGACTGCTTGGGCTGTTGTGAGCTGAGGAGGCGCTCCTCAAGTGGCTGTCGAGGGGCATTTACAGAGGCGCCTCTGCGCTCCTGGCAAAAAAAGTGTTCTGCGACCGCTTACTTTGCATAATGGACGAGCCGCCCCTGCTTATACCTTTCCTTCTTTTTCCTCTAACAAGTTAGATGCAGCTTACACAATTCTTTCTTCTATTTTTGCAACAACTTTTTGTGGAGATTTAGACCAAGAATCAAAGACTGACCCAAAGCCACCTAGTAAGGTTCATGGCTGAGTGGGGATTAGAGCTTGTATTTCTCATGTCCCTGGCCGCATTGTTACCACCATCCAACCATCAACTCTGGGAAGATGCCTTAAATGAACACTCTGCTCCAGACCTCCCAGAGTTTTGAAATATGCTGTGGCAAGCCACATGCAGTGCTCATATGCTGCCCTGATCTGGACCACGTTAGTAAACTAACGATCAGAGTTCCTTAAAAATGTTGTATTGAATATTTCCACTTCTCATAGATCTGGTTGTATCTATTAATCAAATACAATCAGGAACATTTATTATTAACACAAGTGGCTATAGCAGGGAAGAAAACAAAGCATTTCTTCCTGACGTTTCACAGTCATATGTGTGAATTCACATGCTTCCTCACTACACTCAGGATGCACCCAGTCTTCCTTTAACTTGAACATGGGATCTCAGGAAAGGGTCTGAAATTCAAACTGCTGTAATACATGTGTACACACCACTGACATTTTCAAAGGCATTTCCAATATATCCCCCCAAAAAAACACAATACGGCCCAAGGAATGTTTTACTAGATAAAATAGTCTGCCCCTGTTAAATCAGAACATTTTTATACATTCAGTTTTCCAACTTTGCAGAAATAATTGGCATGCTGCAATATTCTTGGTGGGTCTACTGTCTTCTTTTTGACATAATGGCTTGATCGTAGTTGCTCATCGGTTTTTACAAAATAAAATTAAATGCAGAGAGCACAAACGTTTGATATGATTGCCCATGTTTACAAAGAGGATAACACATCATACTTATTTTTAGGAAACTCCAGTAAAAAAGAACATTAATAATAAAATAAAATATTTATTCATCCTTCTATATTATATGGAAATCCCATCCCACATAAATCAGATCCATCCAAAAAGATGGGTAAGGTCCTTTGATCTGACTGAGAGGAATATTTGTTGTAATGCGTGGACTCGATTAATTAAACAAATGTGTTTGGAGGGTTGGAATTTATGGGCCAGGCCAACTTTTTCTCTTTTGCTTCTCTATCAAATGAATCATATATGGTGCCTTTGGAAACAGTTTTGGCTGGCACAGGTAGTTCTGAGATCCCAATGTAATTTCTTTTTGCTATCTTTGAACTTGTAGTGATGGTATATGCATTGCTTCGGTAGCATTTCATGGAGGACATGCAGAAGGTCTCCTTCATCCCTCTCCTGAAATTGGCATTATACACAGAGTACAAGGTAGGCTTTGAGGCCGAGGAACTAAAGGATATCCAAGTTACCAACATGAAAACCAACGAGCTTTTTCGGTAGTCTGTCTCAGGCGGATGCCAAAGTTGAACCACATAAAATGGTAGCCATGAGAGCAGGAAAAATAAATTCAACATGAGAAACATCTTGATGGTCTTCACCTTTGTCCTTGGAACAATGTTCATTGTCCTCCGCACTGTTCTACCATCTGTGCCTATCCTCCAAATATATTTGATTATCTTTTGGTAAAACAGAATGATGAGAACAGATGGAATTAAAAAAGCCACAAATAAGTGGATGACGCTGTAAATTGCCCCATCCCAAGAATGTGGTGGGAAAAAGCTGCAATGACTGTCCCAACTTGACCCAAAGAAAAAGAAAGCTGGAGACACCAGTGCAGCATTGAAGATCCAAGATGCTGCAATCATTTTCTTGGCTTTCTCTCGAGACACCTTGAAACTCAATGGGTAGACAATAGTATAGAATCTGTCCACGCAGATGGAGAGCAAGACATAAATCTGGACGCCAGGTGTAAGATACTGAAAATATCTTACTAGTTTGCACATTACGCTCCCAAGCATCCACCCATCAGAGGTTAACTGAAGAAGCACAAATGGCATGCTCCCGATACTAATGAGTAAATCTGCACAGGCCATGGAGACCACAAAATAATTGGTGGTAGACTGAGTTCTTCTGCTCCTGTGGATCACCAGGCAAACAAGGGAGTTTCCAAGGACAGAGAATAACCACAATGCCCCCAGAAGCAGGCTGGCTGCCATGATTTCTCCTGGCATTAACTCATATCGTGAGGCTGTTGTATTTTTCTCAAGCTCAGGTCTACCCACTACACTGCTTGGTAGAGGTTTAGACATTTCTGCTTGGTGGCTCTGGGGTTGTAGTCCAGATGTTGGGGTAGGAGCAGCACTGTCATCCATGTCATCAGCAAGCAGCATGTTCAGTCTTTGCTTTAAAGGGCTGCATGAAAAGAGAAAACCAACCATTAGTGAAAATGAAATCAAAAATCACTTTTAGGGAACTTACTGGGAAAATCCAGAGTAAAGTGTCCCAGATCTGCTTAGATGCTGTCCCACAATAGTGCCACTGCAATGACACTACCAGCAAGCAGCTCTCTCCTAAAGGCTTGCTGGCGATGTTGCATTTCTGGTCACGTGACTAGGTGCCCAAAATGACACCATCAAATGACTAGGTGCCCAAAATGACACCATCAGAACTGTGACATCTCCAGAAGTTCCAGAGAGGGCTGCTTGCTGGCAGCAACACAGTGGAGGATTTGTTGGCAGTGTGGATGATGGGTCAGACTGGATCTTGTTGTCGATGCCTCTGAAATGGCAGGATCACTCCAGGAAGCTCCAGAGAAAATCCCATTTTCCTTTGATGTGGATTAACATACGGGTGCAGTGGTTGTGAAGTCGAACATGACCCCCCCCCCCCCAATAAGAGATAGTAACTTATAGTTTTGCTAAGGGCAAGGACGCCAGGCTGGATAATAAGGGTTAAGCCTTGGTCAGTTTGGTGTGTATCATTTAATCAAGGCTTTATGCTCTATTTTCATATGTTTACAGCAGAAAGTAACCAATTTATTACTGAAAATCATGCCACAAAAGTATTTGAATTTTTCCATCTGAGGCACACCTGGGCTTCTGATGGTCCTCCATCTCACAAACAAGGGACTCTCTTTCCCCCTCATGGATATTTCCCTTTATGGACCTTCCTATGAATAATATGAACTATGGACACTGGGGGAAGGTAGTTGGGTTTACTCTCTGTATTATGATTTCTATATTTTCATATTTTCTCCCGTATTTCTATATTTCTCTTCATGTATTTGACCTTGCCCTGATCCTTTTGCCCCTTCCCCTCTCCTTCGGGGAAATCTACAAGGAAGCTGCCCTGCCTTTGGAAAAGCAATCAGCGATCATGAAAAGACCTTTATCTTTGGACATTTTTTGCATGGACAATAGTAAAGGAAATCCTTTTGTCTTCGGAGTTGGGCCACCATTAGGATTTTTGTTTGGCAGACTTTTTAATCATATAACAATGGGGGGAATATGACCTTAGAAAAGTCTTCTTTTCCTCCAAGGCATTTTTCTTTCAAACTTCTCCACAAAGAACTTCCACCCAAGCCTTCCCCTTTGTGTCATATCTGATGGTGACAGGAAAACTCGGATTTCTTTAACATATGTTTATTGCCTTCACTCACGAACACAATAGAATGGCTTGGCTGGCAGAACTCCCAACCGGATCTCGCTAAGCCTCAGGGACAATTTTGTCATAATCCACTCCAGAATACATTGTCTCCCTTCATCCCGCCTCCCTCCCTTCTGATTCGCTGGATCGTCGAGGCAGCAGGAGCCTCCTGATAGGCTCTGGTGCCCCGTGAAAGCCCTGTGATTGGCCCTGATGCATGGGGGATGGGAAAGCCTCCTCTCAGCTGTTTGCACATCAGCCAATCCACTTCGAGCTGGGCGGGAGGGGGGAGCGGGAACTTTGAAACTCACAATTCTGTATTTTCTATAAAAAATGGCCTTTACTTCTGTAACCACATGCTCTGCTTGGCGAATGATTGCTGCTCTGCATCCTTTTCAGCTGAAATCGCAAATAAAACATCTCGGTGGCACTTCCTTCCACTTGGTGAGACCTTTTATTGGGAAAAATCAGGGATTGGGTGCTTCTCTCTGTTTCGCCAGGGTAACGAACTCTTTAAAGAGTCTGATTGGTCTCTGCCTCCTGGCAAAGACCCCTACATTCCTGCTCTATAGCAGTTGTGTTGTGAATCCAGTTATGTGGACCCATCAAAGCAGCTGAGTGATGAGCCCATTTTATTTTGGGACACATACACATTGCTGTCATACACAGACTTGGTAACATACACATATTTTGCTTCAGTCAAATACATAGCACCTGAGAATATATGCTTTTTAAGTGTCAGCTGTGAAGCAGAAGCAGGAAGGCCTGGCTCCAGCCTCATTTTTCTCTGTTCAAGGACTGATAGTTGGAATATCTACTTTTGAAAACATATGCAATCTCAGGATACCAGTTTGGGTTTGGGAAGAATGCTATATTTACCAGTTTCTCTGTTGGGTTCCTTATTCAGAACAGTTATTGATATTTTATTTATTTTATTCAAATATTTGTATACAAATATTTGTATACAATGGCACATACACACACACACACACACACACACACTGAATGAAAAGTAATGCCTCCACCTTTGTTACTTTGTTTTGGATGGGAATATTTTAATAAATCAAATGCAGAAATAATCCTTAGAATGTGCTCTTTAACTACCACCATTCACTTTTCAACATAATCACCAGATAATTGGATACATTTCTGCCAACAATGAACAAGTTTTCTGAAGCTGTGACGGAAGAAGTTGACACTCTGTTTCCGCAACCCATCATGCACAGATCTTCCGATAGCCTGGAACTCACTTCCCAGAGACAACTCTGGCAGTCTTTAGGAGGAGCTTGAAAACGTGGTTTTTACAGTGTACCTTCCCAGAATAAGGAAAACTCTCAGCATTATGTCCTCAAAATGCACTTTACTACTGCTTTAGGATTTACTGCACTCCCTCATTCTCTCTAAAAATCCTATCCCAATTATTTCCTACCTGGTTCACTATTTTTTTAATTTTAATCTATCACATTTGGCCCAGCCTTTGGTTTTAAATGTTTATATGTTACTGCTGATTGCTTATTGTCTATTTTGTTTATGTGATTATGATTTATATTGCATTGATTGTTTATTGATGTTTTATTTTATTGATGTTCTGTTTTTTTATGTATTGCGGGCTTGGCATCATGTAAGCCGCACCGAGTCCCTTGGGGAGCAATGCTAGTATTGCTCTCAGGTACTGCTTTAGCCAAAATAACTACCTCTTTTTCAGACTGCAGACACGGTTGAATAATGCTTCAGCACTGCAGATGGGTCAGCTTACTCTGCTGCACCGAGGATGGCACTGACACACATACCCTGAGTTCTGTCTTGCGGTGAAAGGGCATGAGCAATGGGTGGCTGCCACTGCCTCCTCCAAAACACCAAGTATCTGCTGCCTCTTTCTCACAGCAGGATTGGTACTTTGCCTGCTTTGATGCTGCCATACTTTATTTTAATGGAAACATAGAGCACATTTTAGAATAAATCATTGGTAAGAGAACAGGAATAGGGAGGGAGGAATGGAAGGATGTCATAGGCACCAGACTATTATTAGCAAGTACTGTTGGCTTCTTCTGCAATCTTGTTCAGTCTCCATACATGCACGCATACATACACATGAGAATTCAACCCTGGAAAGAAAAGATACACTGGATTTGAAAGAAGAGAGGTGTAGATGATGATGATGATGATGGTGATGATGATCCAAATCTTCTTTTAAAAGATTCACTTTTATTTTCATACTTGTGTCAAATTGCCATTTACCTTGTTGACAATAAAAGTTCAAAGGGGCACAACCACTATAGTCTCTTTGCCCATAGAATCATAGAATCAAAGAGTTGGAAGAGACCTCATGGGCCATCCAGTCCAACCCCCTGCCAAGAAGCAGGAATATTGCATTCAAATCACCCCTGACAGATGGCCATGCAGCCTCTGTTTAAAAGCTTCCAAAGAAGGAGCCTCCACCACACTCCGGGGCAGAGAGTTCCACTGCTGAACGGCTCTCACAGTCAGGAAGTTCTTCCTCATGTTCAGATGGAATCTCCTTTCTTGTAGTTTGAAGCCATTGTTCCGTGTCCTAGTCTCCAGGAAAGCAGAAAACAAGCTTGCTCCCTCCTCCCTGTGGCTTCCTCTCACATATTTATACATGGCTATCATATCTCCTCTCAGCCTTCTCTTCTTCAGGCTAAACATGCCCAGCTCCTTAAGCCGCTCCTCATAGGGCTTGTTCTCCAGACCCTTGATCATTTTAGTTGCTCTCCTCTGGACACATTCCAGCTGTCAATATCTCTCTTGAATTGTGGTGCCCAGAATTGGACACAATATTCCAGGTGTGGTCTAACCAAAGCAGAATAGAGGGGTAGCATTACTTCCCTAGATCTAGACACTATGCTCCTATTGATGCAGGCCAAAATCCCATTGTCTTTTTTTGCTGCCACATCACATTGTTGGCTCATGTTTAACTTGTTGTCCACGAGGACTCCAAGATCTTTTTCACACGTACTGCTCTCGAGCCAGGCGTCCCCCATTCTGTATCTTTGCATTTTTTGTTTTTCCTGCCAAAGTGGAGTATCTTGCATTTGTCACTGTTGAACTTCATTTTGTTAGTTTTGGCCCATCTCTCTAATCTGTCAAGATTGTTTTGAATCCTGCTCCTGTCCTCTGGAGTATTGGCTATCCCTCCCAATTTGGTGTCATCTGCAGATCTCTCTCTCTCTCTCTCTCTCTATATATATATATATATATATATACACACACATACATACATACATACACACACACACACATACATACATACACACACACACAAATATACACAAGGGTTGAATGAAAAGTAATGCCTCCACCTTCGTAACTCCTCAACAAATGGCAGTACTGGTATGCGGCAGGTACTGGCTTGTTCAGTAGACTCTCCTCGACAGTTCCATTTTGGTGGGAAGCCTTAGCATTGAACAGTTGTGTTGTTAAAGTGCAAAGTATGAAACCCTGTGCAGACGGTCGGTCAATGCAACTTAAGCAATGTGCAGTCATTGAATTCTTGACAGCAGAAGGTGTCACCCCAAAGGAGATTCATTAGAGAATGTAAACTGTTTATGGTGATTGTGTTGATGTGAGTACTGTGCGTCGTTGGGTGAGTAAGTTTAAAGTTGTTGAGGTGGGAACATCTGACTTGCGTGACAAACAAAGAGTTGGACGTCCTGTGACAGCAACTACCGAGTTTCACAAGCAAAAGGTTGACAGGTTGATTCAGGAAGATTGTTGGGGTTCAGCCTGAGTTTGAACTTGAACCTGAT